ACCACCACTCTCTGGGCTCGGCCGTCCAGCCAGTTTTTAACCTAGCGCAGAGTGCACCCATCCAAGCCGTGAGCAGCCAAGATTCCCCTTCTTTCTCCCCAACATTTGCAGGCAGATCAGTCCCATCTGTGCTCTCATTCATTAGACATGCCTGCTCAGCTTTCCAGTGCTGCTTTTCATTCCCACAGCCTTTTGCAAAACACCTATTCCTAGGCTACAAACAAATTGGTACTTAATGCAGCCCATGGATGTATGATTTGGTAGACCCTGAGCTCTTAAAAAAGCTTTTCCTTTAAGGATACCCTTTCAGAGGCAACCCAGAATAGTGGGAGCAACCTAGAACTCCAGAGAGAGTAGAGATGTTCTGAAAAGCCCTTGTTCAAAGATGGGAAAAATATGCAGCCTTGCAGAAGTTGTGCAAGTCATGGTTGAGAAGGGGCTACCATTTTTGCTTTGAGGCAGTCTTTGGCTTTTCCCTTGTCAGAAGATACCATTCAGAATAAGGTATCTTGGTTTAGTTCATTTGTTCATATGAGTGCTGTTTGGACTGTGACAGTCAAGTCCACAAGCTGTAGACAACCGGTTAGATTTATTATTTAATTCCAACTATATATGAATGCAATGAACTTTCTCACATTTCAGAGAAAAAAAGCTAATCTTCTTTCCTCTTCTGTTTTTCCCCTAGAATGAAGAGCGTGCATTCCTTGCATTGAATTCAACAACACATTTTCAAGGTCCTTAATATCTTCTCAACATCAAGCTGTATTTTGGTGTAACTTGCAAATCTTGTCTAACTGGTCATCTCTCATGTTAGTAGTTTCTGCTAATTACTGTGAGATTATTCTTATGAGTGAAGAATTTAGCAAGTTAAGCCTATTCTAACATGTCCAAAAGAAGCTGGATTATGATTCCTCATTTCCCAGTATTTCAAAACAAAAAATGTCTTAGATCACTTACAGAATCAGGTTCACATTTTCCTTCTAAATTAATATTTTATATACAATATGCTATAAATGAGTACTTTCATAGTACCTTGGGTGCCTATAGAACAAGTATTTCAGATTTTCTTATTTGTAGCCTTTGTTTTCAAACCACAAGCAAAAGTTTTTGAGAAATGAAGGATGGAGGAAGTTTTCTCAGCTTTGTTACATTATCCTTCTTTGTAATTTCCTTTGTTTTCTGATGCCATTCTGATGATCTCACCATGACAGACCATATTCCTTAAATATATCTAACAACTGTTTTCTGTGTTTGCATTTGTATTATTTGACTTGGAGATAACTTTCCTATTTGTCTGAGGAGGTACATGTCTTTGGTTTGATAGCTATTTAAAACTGTCATGTGGAAATCCAGCCTAGAAGTTAACAGTTCAGTGGAAAGAATTGAAGTATTTTTTTTTTCCATTATACCAGTATTTATACTCAGTTGTTGAGAATAATATTACACACTGTACTAATTGTCAAACATTTGGCCTTTATTTCACTGAATACTCCTGTCAAATATCCTTACTTCCTGTTGTGTAACAAGGAAATAAAGTCAACTAAGAGATGATTAATAGCAAATCCTGAAACGACGTGGAATTGCTCATGTGGGATCAGGAATATGGGTGGGGAGTTAGGGTCTGGAACAAGAAGTTGATCAATAAAAATATATTTTCCATTTGAATGTGTTTTTTTGTTTCAGGACTTTCAAAGAGCAGTTTACATTAGACAAATATGGTGTAAGAGACATATCTGCTGTGTTGAAACACAAGGTTTTTGCGGTGCCCTGAAGCAGACAAATTCTGCTTGGCTCCCTTGATATCAAAGCTTCATTGTGTAGACTGCACATCTATTAGATACATTCTTATTCCAAGCAGTGCTACAGCTCCAAAAGCAGAGGTGGCAAGGCAGCTTTCCTAAAGCATTTAGTTACTTGCTTTGGCTGTGAAATAGCAGCAGTGATCTATTCAGACATCTGCTTTCCCTTTAATACCGTCCAGACTGCAGCCAGAAACAAGACATTCAGCCATTCAACTGAGAGAGCACCATAACATTACTCTCTTCACTTTCCTCCAGTGGAAAAGTCTTCTTTTCTGTAGGAACGGTTGATTTGTACAGTGTGCTTTTTATTGTAGCAAAGTCTTAAGATCAACTTTTTGAATATGTCCTCAGACTGAAAATGAATATACAGGTGCGGCAGGATCTGAAAACCTAAGTGGAGCTAAGACACCACCTCCAAGGACAAGTTCATATGAGGTCCTGAAGCAACAATAGCTGTACTGAGGCTGGATGCTTTCAATGATAAGATCCTGTTTCAGCTGCACAGACACTAAATCTCTTGCAGTGTATCTTCTCTTGTTGGCTGCAGTGATGGAAATACCAAAGAGAATGTGGCCAGCCATGGTCCTGATCGGTTTGGTGCTGTTTTATAGGAAAGCTTGAATGATGAACATAGCGGACATGTCACTTAACTGTCTGAAAGTAAGGTGTTCATTCAAAGGTAGTAGTCTAGGCTCCCGTGATGGCCACTGCGGAGAGACAGGTACTTTCCAAGCATATTTCATTCTGCTTGGATACTTGCTTTAGAGGGAGCCTAGACATCTTAGCCTAAATGCTTCATTAAGGCAGTCCTGCTTATGACAATGTTTGCAAATAATCCCGAATAGTATTTCCATACTTTGGCTCAGGTCTGCCTGTTTGCATTTCTGTAGTGAGAAAATTGCTGGTAGCTTTTCTGATTGACTTCCAAGCTGATCTCTAAGAGTCCTGTTTCTAATACACTACTTCAGGTAAACATTGTCTCTTCTGATTACAAAATTCATGCTCCACCTGAGGACAGGTCTTCCCACTCTTTCAAATAGTGACTGGACCACCCTATACATGTAACACACTGGAAGGAGTTCCACTCGAGTGATACCTTTTCTAGAGAAGTTAGAGTTCTGCATTACTGAGCTACCAGACACTACCATCCTTGTGACATTACAGCTGCAAAAATAAAGTTTTTTTTTTCTTTTTCACAAGGCATTTTAAACTTTCGTAGGTCAATCCTGAAAGAAGAAGGTATGAGTAGCTTTCCTAACTCTACAAGTATTCATTTCACTCTGCTGACCACTGAAATGTTTTCTTTTTCTCACCCAAACTATGCAATAGTTTTGTAATATTGACCAATGCACTAGTAAATGTGCTGTAATAACAGTTAAATGCAAAAATCCCCTATGTGATTGCCTATAGGCTTGGCTAATTCTGTAGAGCCTCCATTCTTTTGTTGAAGGAAATTCCCTTCTTGCTTATTGTGGGCCCAGTCCAATCACCCTATTTTGAGACAACCCGCAGTTATTTGGTTTTCATTTCATATGTACATTCTTACTATTATCACAGAGCATCAATGTCCCAGTTCTTCCAAGATATTAGCATATATCAGAATATCATTGAGGTATAGCAAAAGCACTGATAGGTGCTTTGTAGTAATCTCTTCAAAAGACTTTCAGTTGTGCCTAGTGCATTGCACAACCTGAAACTAGCATTTAAAATTACCACAGAAATTAAAGCAGTGTTCCTCCAGTTATTTAGGGACTTATTTTCACTTGCCACACCCACGCTGGGTCTGGTGTGGGAAACCAGACTGATGCTGCTGCAGGATTTTGGATGTCTTTATTTGCAGTAGTGGATACATTCCCTTGATAGCAAGTTGTAGTTGAGCGGCATGCTTGAATTGCCACATCCTAATGAGTAGCTGTGTATTCACTAAGCCATAGTAACAGCCACAGCAGACCTAGTCCAGTGCTCTGCAGTCTGTGTTCCTCACCCATCTCTTTTCTGGACTTCTGATAAACTACTTCAGAGAAATAAATGGGAAGAGAAATAGTGACTACTTTTGTAGGTTTAGTTTACCGCTGATTTCACTCCCTGAACTACAAAGTCAGGCATGGGTGAGCCAGCAGAAGGGAAGCAGCCCAGCTACAGGGGAGTGGAAACAGTGCTGCTTCTGTAAGTTCCTTAGACAGCAGACTGTCTGAACTGTAAAGTAACACTGCAACCTGATCATGCGCCTGTGCTTAGCAAACAGAAGAAAATGTATTTGCTTCCATTTACTGTGAAAAGTTGCAATGAGCAAATTCCCCTTGCTCACACTCTGTGACAGCTGGCCTTAAAAAATGGTGACTTTATCTTATATCTCATATCCCCTGTAAGTTTTTTATTGTACACGGAAATATCTTCCCTGGATTAAGAAAACAATTTCTCTCTCTTATCCAGAAAGCCCTTTAGTGCAAACATGTAATGCTGCTGTGTTTAGTGTAGTACTGGAACAAGTCCAGTAGCAATGGTGGGAGCTATTACTCCCATCCCTCTTATGGTTTTCTACCGCTCCAAGCCATTGTCAGTATCACTGGCTCACATTTGGCAGGAATAGGCCCTTTTATGTGGCACTAACTGCCATTTTTTAAAAACTTTAAATGAGCAAGGGTCAGTTCCTGTATTGGATTCACAACAACTCTAGAAATTATGATTTCCTAGGAACCATCAGTGCCAGGACAGATCTCATCTACTCTCCATCTTACATTGGGCTGAATGACTCCTTAAGATATAGCTGATACAATAAAAACCGGACAGCTTATCTACTGAAAAGAAGATGATAATTTCTCTAGACTTCATCTTTCAACAGGTGGAATTTGTAAGGTATATTTCCTGCCATTGACTACATGCTGACTAATGAAACTAAACCATCCTCTTTTAAAGCTGTGTAAGCTCCTATCTAAGTTCTAAAGGTCCGATTTTCAAAACCAGCTTGGAATGGGACCATGTTCCACATGGTTGTCTCCACATGATTTCTGTAACGTTTTGGACCTTTTCATATCATAGCCAATGTAATCAAAAACCTCTTGCCTTTGTGCCAATAGCCACTATTCTCATGTATTTCACAGCTTCTAGTACATCCACTGCAGAGGTTTCCAAGCTTTGCTCTCATAGCTTATATGCATTCTGAAGCTGGGTTTGTGGTTGGACAACAGTTTTTACATGAGAGGTTCTCTGATGGGATGTGTCTGGGAGAAGAAAGGATGAAAGGCAAAAGAAAGCCCAGAAACAGGATGACTAGATAAAAGATGGGGAGAATGTACTTTGAGCCATCTGTGGGCACAGGTAGGGAGAAGCACTCAGCAGGA